TTCCATCAATGCTGTAAAAAAGGTAGCCGAAACCCTAGACCACCTGGATCAAAGCCTCAATCCCTTGAACAAGGGACTTATTGTCAGTTCGCGAGACCCCATCATTGACTCCACCATTGGTCTCTCTTGTTGCCTCAATCAGCCACCACCACTCTTGCCATCAACGTTTTTCCTTTCCGTCTCCATCGTCACTACAATTGTTGCCTCATTCGAACACTCCTTTCTTTTGCTTCGCATACAATGCCTACTGCTAGGGCTTTGAGACCTCTCTAACAATGAAAACAAAGTCAACTGAAAGGTTATATTAATATATTCTCCATTTAATATCCAACCCACAATTCTTGACTCAAACCCTAGTCAAATCAACCCATCATAACCCTAGACTAACCCAAAGCACCAATTACTACTCAAATGATAGGGTGACTTACTAGCCGGTCCTATTGATCAAACTTATTTACCAATAAGTCTTGCTCATTTTTTTACCTATCAATATTCTCAAAAAATGTTGACGCAAAATAAGCATTTTAGGAGTTATTGTTACATTAAAAAAGTATACAAGACCTACAGGTATTTAAGTCCACCACATAGGACTGACTTGTGATTTATCCCAAATAATAATAGTCGTACATAACCTACCCATTTTCCACCTAGACCCATCTCTCTAGTCCATTAACCAGCCCCACACAACTCATACCCCTTAAAGCCCAAAACAAACCTGAAGTCAGCCTCCATGAAATTTAAAAAAATATATATCTACAGCACAATCCTTTTCCTTTAAAGAGCCCAATCCACATGCCTAGTCCAACCATTAAACGAACACAGACCATCTAACCTAACCTAACCCAACCCAAATTAGCACAACCTTTAAACTCGTAACCTAACAAGTATGGACACGGACACAACATGAACAAAACAATTAAAAAAATTACATGTTTTTATTTACTATGTAGATTAATATTAGATCCATAAACAATCAAAGTTAGGAAAAACTAACATTAAATCAATAAAATAAAATTTTTTTTTAAGTATTAACTTTTTAGTTAACTCTTATCATTTGTCTTTTTATGGATGATTTATTAATTATTAAATCTAAAAAGGAAGCAAAAAATATTCACCATGTTTGGTTCCAGCAAATTGAAACCACTTTTTAGAAAATTGAGTTTTTTGTTTTCCATTTTTTTTAAGAAATTTTTTAAAATATTTTACTCAATTTTTTTATATTTTAGATACACCTAATCTAAATACACTTAAAAAGTGTATAACATTTATTGAGAGGAGGGGGAGGGGGGGGGGCAGGACTTTAAAAATAAAAAATAAAAGGAAAATTCAATATATTTTCATACTTTGTTGTATTCAATGAATTTTTTTAAAATTTTTGTACAATTTTTTTTACTTTTTAAGTACAGTAAGATTAAGTGGATCTAAAAAAAAATTAAAAATTTGATTAATTTATTTTAAAAAATCATTAAAAATACAAAAATATGAATTAAAAACTTAGAAAATTCATTTTCAAAACTCAAAACCAAACAAGGTGATTAACATCCCGTGTCCATCAAAAGCACCAAAGCGAACCCAAAAAAAAAGGGTTTTTCTTCAACATAGTGCTTTAATGAAATTGTATCCAATTTGGAAAGAAGAATATATGGCATCAATCTGTCTTTGATTGATTTGAAAGACCCCACAAATTCTATGTGAAGGACAATTCATTTTATTGTAAAAAATATATATGGTGTGTGTCCCTAGGTACTTGGGCTCTGATACCATGTTACACGGTTTTAGGTAGAACTCAACCTTAGAAGTTAGCCTATTGAGGTGAAGATACCTCACGCATCTATACTACACATTACTTTTGTACCCAAGGAATATATGAGTTTGCTTCACACCCTCCCTCATGCACAGCATGCTCATTGGACAGAATCTGCCATGTGTAGGCAAAAGCCACACACCTTATCCATCCTCGAGTACTCGGACTTTGACACCATGTTACACAGTCTTGGATAAAACTAAGTCTCTGTTTATTCCCATCTTTCATATCCTCTACACTAAACTTTTTTACAAAAGTAGGAGTAAGTTGAGACATTAGTTTAGTTATGGGTGAATGACTAGCATTGAACCCACACATGGTTGATTCACAATCCTTTACCATAATCCACATGCTTTGTTCTTTTATTTTTTGACATGCAAATATTAAGCAAAAATGGTATGTGTCCTTTTGATATATGATTTTTGGCATGTCTAAAATTTTCTTTCATATTCTTAAGACAGGTTTCGCTAGGTCTTGCAAGTGACTAGGTTCCTCTTGCAAGCTCATACTGTATTAGACTTAGTTGCACGTACATTAATCGTGGATTGGTGAAGTTGATTGTGTTTGGGTGTCATTGGCATGCATTATTGGAGACTAGAAATACACAACAAATTGAACAAGTGTGGATAAGATCGGACTACGAAACTGCTCAAGATATTGAGCAGGTAGGATCTTGCAACTAGGTCTTGTAAGTGTACTTGACCTTCTTTACGAGTGGATGCATTGTATCCATGGTTTTTTACCCGAGATTGTGTTTAAGTTTTCCTCATTAAACCTTGTCTGTCTTATGATTGCTCTTATTACCAATGTTTTAAAAGGCTTTACTAATACTTGCCTTGAGCCGAGGCTAAGGCTAAGGCAAAACACATCAAAGCTTAAATTTTTAGGCTCGCGCATCATAGCCAAATGCATGCGCCTTGTATGCCATTTGTGAATAGCATATGAGGAGTATGGATATGAAGAACTTACCTTAGGTTCTTGTTAAACTTAGCCTTGTAGATGGTTTATAAATTAATAAGCAAAAAATAAATAAGAATCCCTCATGCAATTATATTCGCAATTATATTCTATAGGAAAAATGAAGTAAATGACCAATCAAGAAAAACACAAAGCTAACCAACTAGGCTTAGCCTAGTTGGCCACCATGCCTTCCTTAGGGCTTAGTCTCAAAGAAGGTGTAGAAAAATTTAATGTATAAAGAGAAATAGAGAATTGTATAGATATTGATTGTATTATTGATTGTTGTGTATATTGATGTACATTACAATGATTCATGATTCCTATATATAGAAGAGGGTGAGTGTGTAGTAGGTAAGGAGTAGGTGAAGTGGAGGTGGTAGTGGTGTAGTGGGTTAGGTTTAGTGGAGTAGGTGAGGTGGTAGTGGTGTAGTGGGTTAGGTTTAGTGGAGTAGGTTTAAGTGGGTGAAGGTTTAGTGGAGTAGGTAGATTTTAACAGAAGGCATGGGTTCAATTCCTCTTAGGGTGGTTGAATTAAGGGAGTCCAAGCACTTAGATACTTTGCCAAGGGTGAAGAGATTTTCTCCTATAGGTGCTAATCTAACAACTAGCAACTAACATTTTCCGATAAAAAAAAAAAAACGCAAAGCTAAAAATGTCAATTTCACTTGCAATGATGGTTAGCTTTCTTGTTTGCAGTAAAATGTTCTCCATCTTGAAGAGAAAAGTATTTACGCCTTTATATTTCATTTTTTTTTATTATGTTAAAACATTTAATTTATTTAATAAATATAAAATTTTAAATTCGAAATGCTTACGTCTTGATGCTTGAAGGCGCTCACCTCGTGAGATGTAAAACGCCTCACATTACACATTCACCTTTAAAAACTTCGCTTGTTATGCTGGATTAAAATATTCATTTCAGCTTTAAAATTGAAGAACTACAAAGGCTATTCTGTGTGTTCCATTGAGAAACTTTTTTCGAAATGCGTCTCAAATAGCAGCAGTACAAAGCATTAGACATCCAGATAAAATGTCAAAAATTTATTTTCCTAGATATTTATAGTATAATGTAAAATATTTTAAAGTTATTCATAAATTTAGAATGACATGCTATGAAGCACGGATACTTCAAAAAGGGTGACGTATCCGTATCGGATACTTATCAGATACCGATACTCCTCGGATACTCGTGGATACGTATCGGATACTTCTTAAAAGTATCAGATACTTCTTAATTAATTTTTTATTAATTTTGAAGTATCGGATACTTAATTTTGAAGTATCGGATACTCGAAGTTACATATTACTTATAATATTTTGTTTAGTTCTTTGATAAGAGGAATATAGTAAGAGTTAAAGTAATAGAATTTGTCAAATTGATGTATCCTTGTTGTCTCTCTCACTTCTCTCTCGCTTTCTCACTCTCTCACGTTTCTTCTCTCTGCTCTCATTCTTTTTTTGGTGTTGGCATGTAAGGATGATGTTTAATTTGCATTTGCTTTTGCTTTTGCTTTTGCTTTTAGTTTTGGATGTTTTATGAATGTTTGAGCACTTTTAGGTTAATAGGAATCCCTCTTTTTATTTATTAATTTACTTTAAGTTTTATTTTCATGCATATTACATTATTAAAATTATAATTTTCTTTTTTTTACGAATGTATCCCCGTTGTACCTGTATCATACTTTTTCAAATTTTGACATATCGCTATATCCACATCCCCATATCACCATATCCGTATCCGTGCTTCCTAGGCTATTATTGATGACTTCAAAAAGTATATTTGCTGAAATTTTTATTTAAGAATGGTTTTTTGGCTTTAGCTAAGGTCTGTGATATTCACTGATGAAAGGGAACAAGTTGAAGCTATTGACCTTGAAGACTCTTAGTTTTATAGGAATTTTTCTTCTTTATCAAGTAATCTTTTGCTTTAGATTTTATTTTTATGCATACTGCATTACTAAAAATTGTTAAAATAATATTTTTTATGAACGTATCCCCGCCGTACCCGTATCCTAGTTTTTCAAATTTTGTCGTATCGCCGTATCCGTATCGTATCGTATCCGTATCCCGTATCCGTATCCGTGCTTCCTAGATGACATGAAAGCTGCATATTACCCTTACTGGGATGAAAAGCATCCACTACTGAAAAAGTGAATGATAAATAACTAGAAATTGGGAAATGTATTAGAAGATAAACAAACGTGGGTTAATTAAATAAAATTAGAATTCGAGTTACCTGTAGAGAAAGAATGACATTTACAGCATCGTATAACCGTTTTGCATCTAGTGGTTCATCAACAATGTCTGATGGCAGTTTTGATAATAGTAGAGCAGCCTGAAAAATAAATTGAAAATGTAAGTTACAAAAAAGAAAATGAGTAAAAAAAAATTACACCCAATTAGTACACATTACTATGTGTTTGGGAGGGGAAAGAATGGGTACACACCTAACCTTTGGCATAGTGCACAAAGTGGTTGTACCGAGACTTGAACCCATAACCTCAAGGTTATTAGACTAAGGTTTTACCATTGAACCAATGGTCAACCCTAAAAAAGAAAATGAGCAAAAAGAATATTTTTACATTTGATCAATTATTACTTTTAATCCTTCAGCTGTGCAGTCAGAGATAGGCCATCCATGGTCTGCAGTTGAGAAAGGCCAAGCACCTTTTGAAATGTGGCGATACCAGAAATCAAGATTACCTGGGCAATCATCTAAAACCTTTAAAGAAAAGAGAAGGGAGTCAAAATAAAATAGAAGTGGACAATTAAAGCATGAAGAATCCAACACATTGTAAAATAAGAGAATCATAATATATTAAAAATGAGAACCACCTGTGAGTTTTTTATATAGGTGTGTGCTTTCATAAGAGTTGGACCATACTCTTCAGCAAGGTTCGTTGAAACAATTGCTTGAACAGCAAAAGCAGTGTCCCATAATTGACTTCCATTATAACCCTGCAACAGAATCATACACCAGCTATAGGGGTAAAAAAGTTTCCGAAATGCACAAGAATGAAAACAAAAATTATATTAATAAAGCTAATCTAGCTAGAAACTTACACCTTCCACTAATAATAACTCAAGTGGAGCTATTATGTAACACCCGAGGCATTCATTGCATAACATTGGAATCCATTTACTCATTCATTTTTTTTTTTCTTCCTTTGCATTGCATTATTAGTACTTGTTTCGTGACTTGTTAGAAAGGAATTTAGAAGATAAGTGTCATGAGTAGAGAACTTAGAACTACTTGTGGGTTAGGACTAGAGAACAAAGTTAGGTTATGCCTTGCTAGAAACCCTTAAGGGAAGAAACTTGGAAGAATACAGGAGTTAGGGGATAAACTTCAACTGGAAATAGAATGTTTAGATGTCTTAAAAACCGTAATCAAGGAACTTAATAACTTAGGTCTAATGAGTAGAATTTTTGTAGACACTTTGTCAAAACTTAAGCGGGATTAGCATTAATTAAACGTGATTAATTAGACATAATTGGAATTAATTAAACTAATGATGATTAGACACTAACTTTGATTAATTAGAACTAAGCTTGATCAATTAAGCTAATAAAGGAGATTAGGAAAAGGCCTGACAAGCAAGCACATAGGTGAAGTACTCACATAGCTCAACCAAGCACCTCTCAAATGATAGGCACAACCACATGACAGACAAGTGCCTCTTTTCTAAATAAAATATATATAAAAAAAAAAATTAGAGAAAAAGAGAGGATTATCTCAGAAAATTTGGAGAAGAGAGAGACGAGATAGAAGAACAAAGAAGGAGAAAAAGAGGAAGAAGAAGAACCATAGGAGGAAGCTCTAAAACATTGTTCAAAATTCAACAAAAATTCATCCTAAGGTAAGATTTCTAACCCTCTTTGGCAATCCTTATAACAAACAAGAAGTAAAGTTAGACTAGGTTTCAATGATAGTTAATGGAAGAAATGGAAAAAGGGATGAAAGGAAACTAGGGTAGGACAAAACTGAATGGAAATTATGTTTTTGATTGATCAAATCTTAAGCTTTTGTGTAGTATTCTTGTACCATGTTTTTCATATCATTTTTATATATCTAATAGAGCAAAATTTTATGTTTTGAAGCCTTGGATTGAAGAAACTGCTTATAAACCAAGTTTGGGATTCGGTGCAGCCAAAGGCAAAACTGCCTGCGTGAATCCGCAGGTGCGGCCTCAGCGGCCAACTCTGATGGAGACTGCGTGAATCTGCAGGTGCAACCCACAGGTCCCTCATGTGCAGCCCACAGGGCAATTGCCCAGTTTCACCTCCGTTTCATCCTTTCAACTCGCCGAGCCTTGTTTCATCTAATCAAAATTTGAAATGAACCTAAATTACACCTATAAGTTGACCTAAAAAAGTGTAATTAAAGAAGAAGGGTTAAACTTAGGCCAACTCATTTGAATTGAACTCGAAAAGAACGACACTGTGTTACTTTACATCATATTTCATTCGTACTTGCATTTGCATTTGTGTAGGTCGGAATGTCATGGAGTATCCCCTCTTTACAAGAGCCATTATGAGTAATATCACTCCAAAGTTATTTCCAAAAATTATAGTTTTCAAATTGAAAATGTATCATACTTTGAAATGTTTGGCTTTGTCTTGATGAATGAATATCTTATACTCTTTGTACCAATGTATGTAATTGGCAATCTCAGATTAGTCCTAGCCATTGGGGGACCGTAAGCATGCCAATGGGCATTATTTGAGATCTCCTTCACCACCTGTGGGTAGGTTTGTCCAATCGGTATCGGGGACAGTTATTCTTCGTTTTGTTCTGTTGGATGTATATTGCTATATATATGAAAATGCTATGCTTTGAAAAGAAATATTCATAATGAAATGACTTGGAACTTATCAAACTGGATTTATTGATGTACATTTTGTAAACTCATCGATATTCATTCATCACCACTTTACAATAATATTATTTATTGGGCAATGACTCACCCCTCTCCCCTATATGTATGTAGGTGAAGAACAACACGAGCAAGTTTAAGAGAGAAAGCTTATTTCAAGAAGTTTTTGTATTATATAATAGTTAATGGAGAGTCTTGTATAGCTTTTGCATTCTTGTAATATACACCTAGTTGGATTGCAACAGATAGAACTTGTCTTGTACATATTGGCTTGAAATGAATGTACTTTCCTTTTTGTAACTTACCTACACAATGTACAATTTCAATAAGTGATGAAATGTTTTTGTGTTTCATTTCATCTATACTTATGCACAGCTCTAAATGGACTTAACTAATTAAAGAAGAAAAAAAGCAAATCTGGAATTTTACATGAAGCACATTTAGAGCATCAGGAATTAAAGATTTGGAATAATTTTGAATCTTCATATCATTATAGTAAGTTTTATTAATTAAGGATATAATGGTAATTACAATAATTGTTGGACATGGGTCGTAGGGGTCGCCCATGGGTTTTATTTTGGGTCAATTTATTAAATGGAACATTATATATGTGTTTTATTATATTTAGCAGTCAAAAGTCTAAATTTCCTATGTTAATATTGAAGTTGTATTAGAAGCCATTAAAGTTTCCTATTATGATTGAAGTAGAATTGGAAGTTATAGTTGGTCTAGAATATTAGTAGTTGCTAAATATTTTTAGTTTCTAAATTTGAGGTATAGTCCTTATAGAATTAGGAGTCTTTAGCCTATAAATATATGTGTAATCTCAATGATTCAACAGAAGAGTTAATATAATGAAAATTTGATATTCTGTGTAATTGGCCTATCCCTTGTGAACGTGAAGCACCTATTTCTCTCTTCTTCTTCTATCCAGCAAGGTAGTGTTTAGAACAGCCACCCAACACTTTGTGTTTTTATTCCCAAAACCCTACCCTTTTACAAATCCTTAATCTCCTATTTTTTAAATACTTTTGCAGCCACAAAATCCCACTAAATCCAGCCCTATAAGTCTATTATTGTTGCTGCCAATATAGTCAACCCAATCTCACCACTTGTAGGAAAGTAATCTCTACTCATTCTATATCAGTAAAGCTTCCTCCTAATGAACCCCAATGTATAGTTCATTTCCTGTTTCATTTAGTCAGGCCTTCGGTAGTTAAAGACTGCTGGCCGGTCATCACACTATCCTGTTTGGGGAAGGATGGGGTCATTACATATTATTTTCTACTCATCTTATAATAGAAGGAAGAGTGAATCAGCGATGAACGATTAATCAAAAGATGGTACAGCACTATTTCAAAACCTGCATTTTCATGCCATCTTCAGAAAGCCACAGATAATCATAGATTCTTGGAAGATGTAACTTGAAAGCCTCTGAATTTGGATCTTCAATCCAACAGCAAAGCATATTTAGCACCTGAGATTAAAATTTCAGTTTAGAGAAAAAAAAAATGGAGTGACTTGGATCTACCATTCACAAGCAAAGCATATTTAGCACCTGAGTTCAAATTTCAGTTTAGATAAGAAAATGAAGGGACTAGACAAGGCTGACTTCTCACTTAAAAATATATATATATATACTGAAAAGAAAACTGAAAAACAATTTAAAAAAGAACAGCAAAGCATATTTAGCACCTGAGTTTCAAAATTCAGTTTTGATTTCTCATTTTAGAATGCAAAGTAAAGAGAAACCTCAAAAAGAGAAAACTGCTATTGATTAATCATATAGCATTTGCTAAAAAGGATACAGGAAAAAGAATGGCAATGTGATATCATGCAGAAAATTTTAGGAAGCATATAAGCGAGTGAAAAACTTATATAATCTGAGAGATTAATATTCTGAAGTGTTAGAACCTTGCAATATCATAGACATTGTCTTTTGATGATCCCTCTATTCAAATTTGGATGTCTCACAACAGTTGTCCACCTTGAAAAGTCAGTGAAATTCTAGATGGATGGTAATGCATTGTCCAGTAGGTTTAAAAGACTAATTTGAAAATTTGCACCTCCTCTGATTGTGAGTGCATGAAATGGTTCTGCTTATTAAATTTGATTTTCTAAAATGGAGAGAGAATTGTAGTTATTCAAATAGAGAAAAAAATGAGCAATATTCTTGACAAACTAAACAGAAGGAAATTTTAAAATAGAAAAAGGTCGCCATTGAGATGAAATACTCACCTTGTTTACAGGCCCTATGCATATATAACGAGTATTTTCATCTTCATAGTGCATGTGCTCCATCACCATACGAATAGCCTTCTCTCTCAACTTTTTCCCAGGCCAACGCATTAAAATCGGTTCCACAACCTTCTGAAGAGATTCCCAAAGTAGATCCTGTACCAGAGGGTGAGGGTAGTACAAATCTTCCTGCAAGAAAAATTAGTGAATTCTCTGGAATATTGAACAAATTAGTCTATTGATGGAAAATGGGACAGAATAGTCCGGAATCAATTAAACAATTGATTAGCAAAGAGAGAATGCCCTGGAATCGATTACACAATCAATTAGGCCTTTTAAATTCAACTTTTGCTCTATGTAATTCCAACCTCCTAATTTCATTATTAAGGCCTACATACACAAATATATGTATTAATAAATAGTGAGAACACATTGGTCCTCTCCAATCTTCCAAAAATTAGGATCTACCTAACCGAACAAGATCAATTCAATTTCAACCTTCAACCTAACTTCTAGAAAATAACAACTGAAACTTTATTTTAATCAAATTATTTGAGAGTTATAGAAGTAGAATTAGGGTTAGATCAAGGAATTTTACCTCAATTCCAAGTTTATTTGAATCCTTAGGCTTTTCACCCATTTTCTCTTGCTTTTCCCTCACTTTCTTAGAGAATTCAGATTTCATATTGCAAGCTCCTAGCATGTCTCGACACTTTTACGTTTGTATGTAAAATATTATATCTAATATAACACATGTCACACACATGGTAGGCAAATGCAAGTCGGTGGTGTCCTATTCTTAGGTGACGGGTGTGGTTCACCATCTGTCCCTAATCACTTGATTAGTATTAATTGACCTAGGTTAGTTTAATTGATCATAAATTGGGTCACTAATCAATCTAGTTAATCATCCTTTGTTGTCACACCCCGTATTTTAGAACCCGATTCACATTACAAAATCCATCATCATTATTCATTTTCACAAATAAAAGTGTGAAAGCTACATCATTAACTTGAATAAACAATAAAAGTTTCTCTTGGATTTACATGATAATTCATTAATTACAATTACAAATGCCCTTGGGCTTATATAAACATGGATAAAAGGAGTGTAACTCTTATTACAAAAACAAGTCATTCAATCTACAAATAAAAGGCCCTAGCCGAAATAATAAAAGAGCCGAAATAATAAAAGAGAGCTTCTCAAGCTCGTTAAGCTTGTACCTGAAAAAGGTTCAACATCGTGAGATGAACATATAGTCCAGTACGAATCTTAATAATTCTAATCAATATAATCCTATACATGTATATGATGATGCTCCACATAATATGTATATAAATAATGTTCTTTTCCATTATCCAAAATATACATATACATAAATATAGATTTTTCCCAAAACTAGATTCTTTAACGTTTCATTTCACCTTTTGCAATTTGAAGGATTTCAATAACTTTGTATAATCAAAGTAAATTCCAAATATAAAAATCTAACAATCCACAATGATAGGTAAATCGAAAGGAATCTCAAAACAACTACTCAATAATTCAACTACTCACAATGAAATATAAACCGAAGATAATTTCAACAAGCTACCTACTAATCCACAAATAACACTAACGTCATTCCCACATTTCCTAGCCATATGCCTAGAAGGGCGAGTGGGCACCTATTACATTTCCACCATTTACACATATCTCAACACAATTACACATATCAACAAATATCACAATCACAATTCCAGGCTTCGTCAAGCCACCACAACACAGTTTATAGGGCACTAACGGGAAGGACACTAGAACCTATCTCAACGCGTCACACTTTACCGGTTGCTAGCTTAAAATAAACGGAACCTCCATATAGCCCAACATACACACTTTACCGGGCGCTAACCGGAAGGAAATGGAATGCCATGCTTTATCGGGTGCTAGCCGAAAGGAAACAGAACCTCCATATAGCACTTTTATGATAACCACATCTTACATACCATTTTGCATTCATTTAATTATAGGAATTTTTTATTTTATTTGTATTGTATGTGGTGTGATTCGTATGTGATTTATTTGTTAGGGGATTTTGATTTGAATCAGGAATTGATAACCCATAAGACTTAGAAACCTTTGAGTAATAAGCTTAATTGATTCAGTTTAGTGTGAAGAACCTAATAGGAACTCAATTAAAAAATTAAGTGAGATTAGTATTAATTAAGAATGATTAAATTGAGATTAATGAAATTAAGTAAGTGTTAATCATAATTAAGTAGTGATTAATTAAGCTAATACATGATTAGAGCCTTGAGTTAATCCTAATCTAATTCTATTCAATATATAAGTTAAAAAGTGAGAAGATGAGTTCATTTTATTCAATTGTGCTGGAAATTTAGAGAGAGAGAGAGAGGTTGAAGAACTAAGAGAGGAGACGAGGAGAATAGAAGAATTGTAGAGAAATTCAACAAGATTTCATCAATTCAAGACTTTAGGTAAGAATTCAAGCCAAATTCTTGTACGAAATCCACATAATAATTGAATTCAAGAAAAGGTTAGGATCAAGAGGAATTAGCAAAAAAGATAATGAATTTGAGCTAGGATCATGAATTGGAAGTTAATTTAGGGTTTGATCATTTTGGGTTTGAATCTTTGTTGTCTTGCATAAATTGAGTTCATATTCACATGCATGAGAGTTCAAATTTTTAGAAATTCATGAAGTTAAACTTTCAATTTCATATTTTGAAGATCGAAAGGAAAGAGAGTTTGAAAAACGTGACATGCATGATGTTTTGATTCAATTTTTGGCAAATTAAAGAAGTTTTGAGCAAATGATTTGAAATTGATCATGTACATGTGCTTTCTAAAGTATTTACATGTTTTTGGACAAGCCATGCAAGACCCCAAGCTTGGAAATTTCGTTTCGGAAGCCATTTGAACAGAATTTCGAAAACAGAGTTTTCACAAACTGCTCGAGCAGTCTTGTTACAGCTCAAGCAAACAATCGAAACAACCAAACTACCCTGGGAAGAGACCGCTCGAGCAAACTACTCTATTTTAGAAAATTTTGAAAACTATCTTTTTGTTCATATTTTCTTTCTTATCTGTTTCCATGCGTCATTAGGCATGAATTAAGCCACATTAAGGATTAATTAAGCTAGAAACCAACATAAGTAAAATGGTTAGAAAATTAAAATAAGAATTCGATTGATTGTTGTGTATTATCAACGTTTGTATGTGTATAATGTAGGTCAGACCGCCAAGGAGTAACATCTGAACCAAGTCACTGCGAGTAATGTCTTTGTAAAGATATTTTCGTAAAGTTCTAATATGATGCGATTTCTGAACTTGTATTTTGAAATGAATGAATGAGATATCCATTTTGTATCTATTGTGGCATCTTAAGAAGCATGGACATGGATACGTAACACGACACGGATACGCCGACACGATAATTTTCAAAAAAATGCAGGACACAATACATGGAAGACACGCATGAAATATATAATTTTATATATTTGTTATATGTTATATATATGAATATATCATTCAAAGATAATAAAAAATGCAATATGATACTAATTCCTATAAATTATACGATTTTTGTTTTATTATTATATCTTAAGTTGTTTTGTTCAAACTTATAATAAATTTCACATGTGTCTAATTGTTAGACACGTATGTTTAAGCGATTGACACGTGTGTCCTCCAAGTGCCCAAAGAGTGTCCGGGTTTTTAAGAAAATTTAAAAAATAGGACAGTGTCGTTGTCCGACACAGATACGTCACCTTCTTAGAAGTGTCCATGCTTCTTAGGTTGCATCCTTAGCGAGTCCTAGCCATTGAGGGATGTTTTTATGCCTTCGCTTTCGGATATCTCTGTTCTATTTTCGATCCATGGTGATCGTTCTGGACTCGAAGTGGTTGTTCTGGACCTAAATGGTCGTTCTATATATTTTGGACCTAAATGGTCATTCTACTTAGTGCTAATGGATGTACGTCACACACTGTTTAACTATGAATATTTGATAAAAGTTCTATATACATTTATATATTTCTGAAAGAGTTTGTGATCTAAATAAGAATGTTTTTGATGGCCTGGAACTTATTCATTAACCTCTTTATATTGATGTAATTCATTAGGCTTTAGCTCACCCCTTCCCCCATATATATGTAGGTGAGCAACATGAGGATCAACCATAGAGATTTTGCATTGAAGTTCACCCGTTTTGAGAAGCCACCGAAGAAGTATGTTATGTTATGAAAAGTTGTGTGGGTTTTATTTTATGTCATTTATGCACTGCTCAATGGACTAGATAATGTTTGTTTACTTCCGCTTCAGGCCCCAATATATTAAATATTTTGTAATTTGTCAGGTTAGGCCGTAGGTAATTCATGATTACTAGCCGGTCACCGCTCTAACCTCTAGGAGCGGGTTAGGATCGTGACAACTTTCATCACAGATACCAATATCAACCAAACATTAACGATTTCTCAATTAAACCCACAAAGGTACATAACACATAAGATTTGGATTTAATTAAACCAAGCATTACTGACAAATATTTCCGAGAAAGAACAATAAGCATAAAACATAACTCCACAACCATATATCATTTTCTTTCTTTTTGTTCTCAAAACTCTCATGGATCCCAATAATTTACAAACATTCGCTTATCTTCACACTTTTTTTTCCGAAACTATTCATTAACCCACTTCATTAATTACTCAATCACACATTTCTAATTTAACTCGTAAACATAGTCTCAACCATCAACCGTTTGATGGGACTTAACGCTTGACTTGGTTTGGTTTGGTTATAGAGTGGAACATTTCTCAAAATCTCAATCAATTGTTCAAATACAAGCTTTCTATTCTCACCATTCCTTCAATTAACAATATTCAATTTTAATTTCTCAAAATGATCAATAGATTTCCCATTTTTCCAAGTCACATGATTTCAAGAAAATTAGGTTTTCTTCTTTGAACATTTGGAGCTTTTATAATTTAAAGTATCCACATACTCCAACATTCTCAAAACTTACATTTGATAGAGAAAATTTAGGAAATACACAACACAAATCAAACCTTGGGTTCTCACATTACATGCTTTGAAATTTCTACAAAACCTCTTAAGATTATGGAATAAAATACCACATATCCATCCATGAAAACTATATTAAAAGAAATTAGAGAAATCCCTACCT